TGACAAACTATTTATCGTTTTATGACGAGTAAAATTTTTTCGTCGCGTTCGCGGCTTTTAAGTAATGCATAAACCTTCGAAACGCGAGGCATAGGCGGTGGCCCACGTTGCCCATGTCTTAAGCCGCCCTTGGTCATAGAAATGATATAATTTGAAAATAAATTATTTATAAATACGTATGTCAAGTTATATTTTTATTAGGATGCAATATATTTAAGAGTTTACGGCCACTGTGCCGGGTGAGACGTTGTTGAAACAAAAAAAAAGTTATGCATTCCATCACGTACATAAACAGTATCGTAATTCGCCAAGTGCAAATCAGCAAATTCGTAAAACTTTTGTTTATTTTGAACAATCCGGATAATCGAAAATCCGGATAATCGAGTTCTACTATACTTAAGTGTAATGAAATTAAATAAAACTTTATTACTTTTGTATAATACAATAAGTGTTTTGCGATTTTATATATGAAAATAAAAAAAGTAGCGTATTTTTAAGATTTGTAGCCTGAAGATAATTATCACTAGCCCAAAAAGTAGCGTGTCGCCAAATTTGAAATTTTTGTAGCGAGGGCACTTAAAAAGTAGCCCAATCCGCTACTTGTAGCCCAATCTGGCATCACTGCCTGACCCTGCGGTTCCTCTCGTACCGCGCAGGGTTATTTTCCCAACGACTTCCGTTTTCGCGGTTAGGGGTCTTCTGCCTTAGGGGCGTTTAGTCATAATTCCACGAACAATAGTTTCGCGCCACTGGCAACTCGACCAATCACATGTACAGTACAAAGTGTCCGTTACATATGTAATTAAAAATTTTGTAAAATACATCTATGCTGTACCATTGTGTAACAACACTGAAGAGGGGTTGGGAATATAAGCCAACTCGAAATGCATCTGAATTAGAAATTTTTAAATAAAACATAACGTTTGTAACCAATTGCTGTTCGTTCGTCTATCAATTATCGTTTTGGATTACAAAGACGCTACACACTGCATGAGACACAATTTGTTATAAAACTGCAAAAATCGTACTGCGCAAGCACAAACTATTTCACACGTGGACGACATTTGACTTATTCTTAGAATTGGACCACACCGGATTTTGCAGGAAAGGACAGAAATTTGTAAACAAGGCAATAAAGTAATTAGCAGCCCCTACACAAAAGACGTTCCTTTTGTCTAAAAGCCAGATGTCCATGACTAATTTGTGAAGAAAGCTACGCTAAATATATTGCTAGAAAATTCGAACTTTTATTTAAATATTACAATTTACATATATTATACATTATTATATTATAACGTTATTATACATACATTACCAATTTAAAATTATAATTTATTTATTTTTTTTTATATAGACAAAAATAATATAGATATTTTACACAGAGAAAAAGATACATATAAAAGAATATTCAAAGAAAGTATAGAAATAATCAAAAATCAAAATAGTATAAAAAAATATCCTAGCATCTCTATAAACGAAAACTGGTTAAAAATTTTATATACTAATTGTATTTACTACATTCAAAACACTATTATTATTGTGATCAATGTGCTAATTTATAATAATAAATATTGAAATGCTAAATAAATCAACAATCATACGTTGCAAAAATAGAATAGATGTCAGATATGTAAATTTGTATTAAATTGCAGAAGTTATGTAAATTCGTACTATATTGTCAATGCGTATCAAAGGAAATAAGGATTTTGTAAAACTGATTTATGAGTGGAAAGCATAATCAATCAATTGTGTACAACTTTAATAACAGTCGTACTCAAGGTATGCTTTAATTGAAGATATTTTTATAAATTCTATAAAACTTATGTATAGTTTTGTATATATATGTCGTTTACTCCCCTAATATTATACTTGGCTGAAAAAAAATGTTGAGAATAAGCTAATGTCACCGAAAAAATATCGAGAATAAGCTGTTACTTCAATTTATAGAACGTGTATGCATAAGTATGTTTTAGAATATTCGAAATTCTACAAAACTTGTGTATTTTTTATATGTATGTTCTATCCTATTTTAATGTTTTAGTTGCCTGAAGAGGGGCTTACCCACGGTTACGCGCGGAACGATGACTAACTCGATATTTTTACAGCTGAAAAGATAGATAATGTAAACCCTGTATTTTAATTATATATGTACCGATAATGGGGACATTGATATTAAAAAACTGTTTTTTTTTTGTGACGCGTTGGTAAACACAACCCGCACTTAAATATTTTAACATACTGTATTTTTTCACTGCCGCCGTCGTCCTTTATTATGTCTGTTTAAACTTTGTCTATGAATATTTTTAAACCAAAGTCGCCACATTCCATTTTATTTAACGTATAACGTGTTTTTCGACGTTGACAGTATGCTTATTCTGGATCGGACCAAGGACTTTACAGTATATAGTCTTCAGTATATAGTAGACCGGCCGGATGGCCGAGCGGTCAAAGTGGCAGCCCACCGCTCTGGGGAACCCGGGATCGAATCCGGACGGGTCAAGGAATCCCCAGGAACCCTTCGGGGGAGTGGTCCGTTCGGATATGTCGGGCCCGCTCCTCACCACCCGGTCGCCCCACTCTGGGCCTGGCAGAAGCCATAATGGGCCTGCCTTAAGCGGCCCTCTTAGTGCCCACAGGGCGGAAAGAGTATTAAAAAAAAGTATATAGTCCTTGGGATCGGACGAAGAAGCTGACGTTGTATATACGCCACGGTGCGGAAGAAATTGAAATTAATTAAATTGTGTTACACATTATTTTTTGAAATAACAGTTGAAAAGTAACAATGTATTGTTTATTATTTTTAAATTAAATTTAAATTTAATAACAATCCATCACAACAAGGTCTAGACCTTGATCACTAGATTTATTCTTTCTGCGGCAGGGGGCGTTATTAAACATGTTTTCAAACGTGTATTTTTCTTGTTGAGTAGACTTCCTGTTCTATGCTATTATTAAATAATTATTATTCTGTATGTGTCGTAAATACTAAGATAACACCTGGTAACCTGTGATAGGTTTTATAGTTTAAGAGGAATTATATAAAACGCCGCAATTAATTCGTAATGGCTACAGACTCGATTGGTAGAATAGTTATTCAGCAATGTCTGAATGCAAAGCTACAAACTAAATTAACGAATGAACAAGAAGATCCTGTATTCGTTAAGGTATAATTATACTTTACCGTAATTATTAATTTATGTTGGGTTAAAATTTGTATACAGTAATTTGATTTATTTCTACAAAATGGCCACAAAAACAGTCAATATACGTGGTAGAAATTATTTGTTGCCTTTCTCCAGACAAATTTCGGTTAATCTTTACCTAGGTGCACTGTCATGGCCATTGTCCCAACGGATGCCTCCCAGAGGAGAGCCACTGGCAGGCCACATAGTGCCTAACATCGCTAGTTATTGATTCACGGTAGTTCCTGAACAAAAGAGAAAAAAGGAAACATCTACTAAAAATATAGTTAATCTAACCTAACCTAACTGAAGCGAACAGTCGCCCATGACTGTGCATGTAGGTAAAGATTGACCCAAATTTCTTTTAATTTTTCCCAAGCTCTTCTGGAAATCTTCTTCCTTGACTGCATTGATGACAGCTGGAAGTAATTTTATTTAAGCAATTCTGGTATGTTATCAGGAATTGTTAAGTCTAATTGTCCTAAGTTGGAGCTGAGATTTTCTTTTATGTAACGTAAAGTGAGTTACCATATCACTGCATGGCCTGACCAAGGGATGCAGAAGCTAGTTGAGAAACCTTAGCTTTGTTCGGTGTCACAGAATTTTTGTTGATTCTAATTATGCTGCAGTGCCGAATTCATTTCGTACTACTACTAGACTCCTCCTGCTGCTAGAATTTTAAGTGGTATGGTCAGCTTGTTTTGTCTATGCTAACCTATTAGTGATGTCATTATTTTTGTTGTATGATTTGCAACATGGCTGCTCATGCTGGACTAAATGTATTATTTTTATATAATGGTCATAAAATTATGACAGTTATGATGATTATATTGTCTGCTTTTTTTTATACCTGATTGGTCTAACTTGCTAACTTTGCATCAGGTCTGCGGAAACCCTTGACTCCGACTCCTGATAATTTTAGTAGGCCGACTCCCAACTCTGGCAAAATTAAATACCAAGTCGTTTTATGGAGGGCAGAGGTGCTCATAGGGTGATACCCTATTCTGAACTCTGAAAGGAGTCCAGGGTGTTTACCCAAGTACTTCTATAGTTAGTATTTTTAATGTATAACTTACATTAATATTTATTTGTGTAAAAAATTAATTTTTAACAAATATTTAATAAGAAAGAAAGGAGGGTGATAAAATTCTACATCTACATATCTTTATTCTACAGCATTTGCACTTCATTTTTACCCTTCCAGAAAAGTTAGTCCAACTAAAAACTGTGCAATGTAGCTACTTCAACCCCTTGTTCAGGAAAGAAAAATATATATTCTGATCAATTAGTCTGGCTCATTCATAAAAATAAGAGTACTTATTTAGAGTAGGGATAATAAAGGAATGATTCAAAAATATTCAAATTCAATTCGGTCAAAATAATTTTACTACTAAACACAAGTACTACAAAGAAAACTATATATTTAATAAATTAAATTGCTGCATTTTGTATTTAAATTAAATGAATTATAACAAAATGCAAAAAGATTTTAAAAATTAATAAATATAAAATAAATTTTTCTTTCAATTAAATAAAACAACTAAATTAAATTTAAAATGCTGCAGTGGGAGTTGATACATTTTTTCCAACTCTGACAATTCTGGCCAGAAATTCTTCCCAACTTTGACCCCTCAGCCCTGTTCGACATGTGATTCAAGGCTACTTTGAATGCTTCTTATCTCCGCCCTCCTAGTTAATTAAATTTCTTACGTAGCTAGACATTACTGAACAATGGCCTGATTTAATAAGCTAAAAAAGAAATTTTTATTTTAATACTAGCTGTACCTGTGGTTCTGCCTGCACGGATTTTGCAGTTTGATAGAAATAACCCTCCCTTGGTACTTCATTAAGATTCTCAATCAGTAGTTGTTACTAATTTGGTAAAATTACTGATTTTTGTTTATTTCAAACTATGGCGCACTTTAGAAATACTACGGCGCTATCTATTGGTTACTTGACGAAACTGTTTTTACAATATAATTTGTATATTTTTTTAATGTATTAATACACCTAAGTACTCAAAAAATAAAAAAACTTATAAAAAAAATAAATGAAAACTAAACTGGAAAATTCTGAACTTCAATATAACATCAATTAAATACTATAATTTTAAACAAATCAAAAAATATTTATTAAGATAATGATGAAATTATAGGCAAAAACTTTTAAAAGATAACAAATTTATTCCATTTGCACAACAAAGCTGCAAAATTCGACCAAAAATATGTTTTCCAATACTTTTGTACCCTTTTCACCACATTAGGGGTGGAATTTTGAAAATTAATTTCTTAGCAGTTATCTGTAGGAATGCACTGTCAAAATTTCACCTCTAAGTAAAAAAGCTAAATTTAAAAACTCACGCCAAGTTTTATATAGTTTCTGGATACAAATTCACTGAGTTCAGCATTTATAAAGTTCCTTTAGTATTAACACAAGCACTTTTGGCGAGTGTATAACTGTCGTCTTCAGGTGAAATGAACAAATTTTAACGAAACGAACATGCAGAATGTTCCAAAGGAACAGAATATTTAAATTCAAACCAGGTGTCTGGAAATTCTGTTAAGAACGTACAAATAGTTTTTGATATGTTCAAATCTTTAAATTTTTACGATGCTAGCAGCGCATGCTTGGAAATGCTACCGCATTGGTGATACGATGTTAGGCACGTTTCGTTTTTTAGATGCCGATACAAGGCAATCCACACCCTGGGTAGATTGAGGGTGGGAACATTGCATGCTTTTGTAGTAGCTGTGAGAAGTGCTTCCTAGATGAACACAAGCCTTCAATTGTTGCAGCATTTAATTATTGCTGTTCTGAGCCAAACGGGTTGTAGCCTTTCTTGAGAACTTTTTAGCGAGCTCTGTAGAACATCTTCCTTTGGCTACATTGTCTTGATGCTCAGCAAGATGGTATCCTAACAGTATGAGAGAACACAGAGGAATTTATCAAATTTGTGCAGCAACTCTCAAGCATATACCGTACTATCAGTTTCACTTGGGAGAAGGAGCATGAGGAATCAATAACGTTCCTGGATCTGTGTATACAAAAGTCAGTTGAGGGGCTGCAATTTGCTGTTCATCACAAATCTGACAAGTTACTGTATATTATCCCGTCAGATGCTTTCCAACCATTGCGGTACATCAATGCCGCTATTGCTGCACTTGTTAGAAGGGCATTACTGCTTTTGTTGACGCAGCTAGCAGCAAAATTGAATTAGACATTGTCAGAGTAGTGATATTTCTCGCTGGATTCACGCATGGCAAATATGAACATGTGCTCCATAAGGTTAAAGACTCCCTATACCCATGTACCACGCTGTACAGAAAGGAAAAAGCATCCGTGATCCAGTCATCATTGCCGTATCTTGGACCAACCTCTACACACATCAGCCATATATTTCGGTGGTATAATTTCATACTGCCCATAACCCCTACCAAACCTATGTAGATGTATCTGCAATGATCGGGACAAGCTAACCATTTTAGAAAAATCAAGGGTTTACGTAATACACCTAGAAAATCCGGCAAAGGGAGCTATTAGGAGCAACAACAAGAATGCTCGCCTCCTACCTTGCTGAACTTCAAGACAATGTAGCCAAAGGAAGATGTTCTACAGAACGGCAATAATTAAATGCTGCAACAATCGAAGGCTACTTCGATTGTTGCAGCATTTAATTACATCTGGGAAGCGCTTCTCACGGCTACTACAGAAGCGTGCAATGTTCCCACCCTTGATCTATCCGGGGTGTGGATTGCCTTGTATCGGTGTCTAAAAAAACGAAATGCGCCTAACATCGTATCACCAACGCGGTAGCATTTCCATGCATACGCTGCTAGCATTGTAAAAATTTAAAGATTCAAACATATCAAAAACTATTTGCACGTTCTTAACGGAATTTCTGGACACCTGATTTGAATTTAAATATTCTGTTCCTTTGGAACATTCTGCTCGTTCGTTTCGTTAAAATTTGTTCATTTCACCTGAAGACGATGGTTATACACTCGTCGAAAGTGCTTGTGTTAATACTAAAGTAACTTTATTAACACTGAACTCAGTGAATTTGTATCCAGAAACTAAATTTCACCTCTTTAGGTCCAACAGTTTTCTCTGGGTGATGATGAATCAGTCAGTCAGGACATGTAATTTTATATATATAAATTATGATTACAGAAGTTTAGACTACTATGGTCTGTCTACAGAAAGAATCGACTTTGGCATTAACAATGAACATCGGCAGTTCGTTGCTTAGTCATGGCAAGTTATTTCCGTTTTCTTCCTTGTTTGTTAAACATGCTATTATAAACAGTGTTACAGAAGCTTCACGTTCTGGTATTGGAATACTAGGAAGTTTGCTGTAATAGTAGTTAAATGCATGATTCAGTTTTTTCGGTGAATGACTATCACATTTAACAGTTTAGCCATGTGACTGCCAGCTTCGAGTAGCCCACTTGACTGTTCATGGAGTACTTTATGTTATGTAGTTTTGGGGGTGTGGAGGCTCACCTCCACCTGGATATTGAGGTGCTTGCTATCGCTCACACCAAGGTGCACATTTACATGCAAAGCATGTAGAAAAGGCAGTAGAATGATATGTATTAAAAACTGACCTTTGGAGACGAATATCTCATGAACAATTTTGGGGGTAGTGTGAAACCCCTCATTCAGAGCTTTAATCTTACCCATTGCTATACATATCAGCTGGTGTCCTGTTAACCAAAAAGTATCATTATTAATTTATTTGTTATACTTTTTTTGGACAAAAGAGAAACTTACAATAAGAGTTTATTTACTTCAACAAAAAATAGATGAGTTTACAAAAAGTAATTTGATTAATTGATACAAATAAACTATTGATATCAATATCCACATTATCAAATATTTAATCTCATCAAGTCTAATACACTACATTAATTAAAAGAACAAACATTATCTCAGATTGAGGAATTAATGTACAAACATTACAAAGGTGTTTTTAACATTTAAATTAACACATTTATGTAGAAATACCAATTGATAATTATTGACTTTTAACTGTAAACATAAACACTTTATGATAATTTACATCATGTAATAAATGGAGGGAATCCTTAAAGGAACGTTATTATAAACTGACAAGATATTATAAGCTAGAAATTCCTATTGAAATGCTATATCATGATAGGTCTGGATTATCTCTATCATAGTCTCTTCAAGCAAGTCTGCTGGTTGAGCATTGAAACTGTAGGAATATCTCAGTTTATCCAACACATTCTTCAATCTAGCCATCCAATTATTTATTTTTTGATCCAGATAATCTTATGAACTGTATGTTAGAAGCTTGATTCTGTAGATCTTCCATTGTCAATTTCTTTTTGCAATTAAAAATTAGGCACTGAATGCTCAAATTTGAAAACAAATTTTAAAAATTTGAACCTTTTCAATTAAATTTAATTTAAACTCCAAATTGGTAAAAGATAACCATATATTTGGCCAATGATACTATCAATGAAATAATAATAATTAATATGAAATATTCAATAGATTCTATTGATATTCAGTTTTAATGTATAAGAAACAAAAAATGTATACATGTAAGCACCAAAAATTTTAAAGGCACGTCAATAAATTATTACATGTTAAGTCTGAATTTCAAAGAAATTACACTATACTCATTTATTAGTGTCTAACATATTAAAGCACTATTTAAAAATAAAACTTTTTAGTTTGGCAAATTATGCCAACTGCTAAGGTTCTTTGGATTTTGCATGATTTCTCAAGTATTCATAATAAGACTATTCCATTGGCGTGCAAGTCTAATTAGAGTGACATTTAGTAGTATTGATGAAAGGAACTAGAATGATAAATAGCAGTGACAGCAATGATTCACCATGCACACTGATATGTTAATAATTGTTAATGTTTTTAGATAATTTGCATATCAAGTAACTGAAGTAATTGCCTGTAAAAACTTATCATTAATATGAATCAGATTTGTACATATGCATGAATCAAATCCAAGATCAGTTTGTACAAATATGTTAAAATTAGGGGATGCATTTCCAGATATACAAAAATGAGTATCAACTGATATAATCAATGGAATGATTATTACCTCATGAATGTCAGATTTTTCTTGAAGAAAATCATATATATATTATTAATATATTAATAATATATAATATATATGTATTGATCCTAAACAATAAGGATGGTTGATGGTTGGCATGAACTCATTTTGGAACTCGTCAAATGGAACTTGTTTCACACCAACCATGAAATGTTGATGAGAATAGCAGAATGAAATGTTTACATCTAAATATAAATATATGCAGATGTGAACATTTCATTCTGCTATTCTCATCAACATATCATGGTTGGTGTGAAATGAGTTCCATTTGATGAAGCCTGAACATTTCATGCCAACCATCCATTTTACATCAACCAGCCATATATATATAAATGTATATTAAGGACTAAGTGATTAATATGGGTATTATTATAAACAATTCCCAGACATTATAATGACAACCAACATCAAGCATTTTAATAAATTTCATTCTTTTTTGTAATTTATCACATTGACTGGTCAATATGAATATTGCTGTCATCTGTCAGGCAAAATGATGATAATGACACTTTGAGGAGTGATCATCCAATAAAATATTTGATTTTTTTTATGACGAAATTATATAATTTTGTTAATAATACTTTTTGTTAACATTATTTTAATTAACACAGTTAATAATTACTTATCTTTTAAAAAATATTCCAATTTGTAAGTGAAATTTTCACAAGTTATTTTGTTGAATGCTATGTGCAAAGTATTTACCAAACTTAAATATATAAATGGCTTGCTGTATATTATATTACAGCGAATTTAATAACAGAGACGAATTTACATTTGTAATATTTACCAAACTTATTTTAATAATGACTATATTTATATAATGTGTGTTGATTAATAAAGAGTTTAATGTAATAAATAAACCTATAGTAATACTTGTGCAGCAAAGGGTTTTAACAAACTAATTATTATTAAATATTTTTATTAATAGATAAATCGAGGAATAGTTATTTATGTATGCTTTCTGAAAGGTGCTTCTGAAGAACTGGTTTATAAAATGGGTGAGAATTGAATATTTATAATAAAATTAAGATTGTTTAATATGCTTTATATATTATAGTATTTGAATTTAATCTATTTAAAACTCATAAACTTCAAATTATGTCATATAATCCTCTAAGAATAATTTTAAAAATACATATTCTAGAAAAAAAGATTTTAGTAATAAATACATACATGTCCTAAACTTAAGGATAGATGACATTTTTACATGAATAGAGAGAACTGTAGATGAATGCAGACAACTATTTACTCAATGTCTAACAAAGGGTAAAATACAGCAACTTGTAGCATTTTACAAATCAAAGCAACAAAAAATACATACTACAGTTGTACATAGGTGGAGAATAGATAGAAAGTGCTTACTAATAACCAGGCAGAGAGATCTGTCAATATGGAATATATGCAGGAAAGGACAG